AGGACAGGGACTTAAGACTGCCAGTGTCATCAGGTAGGCTCCAAAGAACATGCCCAGAATAGACAGACCATACAGCCCTGCCCGAGACCTGCCAAGGATGGGCTGAGATTCAGGATTGGCTGTCCCACGCCCTGGCTGACCTCAAGTTCCTCCCCACCGGGACTTGGGGCCCATGGGCACCTGCACAGCACTGCCATGGCCAGAAAACAGGAAAGGGGGTTGGCGGAGCTACCCAGTACGACAGCCAAGTGGTAGGCCAGGCGCCCGTAGGGCAGGCAGGAAAAGCTCTGTACAGCCGGCAGCACACCGTTGGTCAGAGCATTGGTGACAGCCAGCAGCCCCAGTAGACTGGCATTGCGGGAAGAGAACAGCTGATGGGCCTTAGGGTCTGGGCTGGGAGCAGTGTCTGCCACCTGGCCTGGTGGCTCCTGCAACGGTGAGACCTCTTCTTCCTCTTCCTCTTCCTCCTCTGTTCCTGGTGTTCTTATCTGAAGCCCTGCATCCGCCGTGGGGACAGAGGGTGAAGACGGCAGTAGTAACAGGAGACCTTGGAAGGCAGCAGCAGAAGTGCCCAGAAGGGCAGTCATAACCCAGAAGAAAGTGGTCGCAGAAAAGCGCTCGGGGAAATTGATGGGGGACTGCTGGATAGGAGGCCCAGTGGTATCATTGGCCAGCACGGGCAGGCACTCAAGGCGGCCCACCCCCTGCACCAGCGCTAGCACACAAGGCAACAGGGCACTCAGACCCTGGCCCAGGAAGAAAGAGCGTAAAAAGGGAGGGGGCAGGTGGCTCAGGAAGGGCAGGAAAGTGACATTAGAAGCACAGCAGGCCAGTGATAACACAAAAGCCAGCGTGAGGAAGGCCACAGAGTGGGACTGCCCTGCCACTGGGGCCACGTGATTCCATAGAGGGGCCAGCAGGGCTGTGCCCACTATGCTTAGTCCCTGCACCACTTGGATAGGTATCCGCTCGCCCTTGCCGCGGGCCAAACGCCTCCACAGGGTCACCAGCAGCAGACCCAGGTTCCCCAGAGCCACAAGCACAGAGAGGTACGAAGGGAGGCTCCAACCTGCAGTGGAGGGAGGAGACCGTGTAAGCGCACCAGGCTAAGGAACAAAGAGCACCTGCGGCCCATCTCCACCCACTTCACGCACCCTCCGGGAGCTCTTTCGTCACTACAGGCAGCTCTACCCAGATTCCGTTGACCGCAGCCCAGGAGCCCATGCCGAAGAGGGCCACGAACAGATGGGTCAGCACCAGTCGGCCCAGCGGAGGTGCTGCCATTAGGTCAAAGGGGGCCCTCCAGGACAAAGCGCAGGTTCACAGTCCACTCGTCACCACGTAGGTCCGAAGCTTCCCTGGCTACTCTAGGAGCCAAACCTCTTCCAGCTGGAGGGAGACAAAATTTTAAGCGAGTGGACAGAACCGGGGTTTGAGGTAAACAGATGGCAAGACCAAGGTACCTGGAGGGAGGCGGCAGATAGACCAGGAGCAGCACGTACCAAGGAGCCTGCACCGGGACCCCACAAAGCAAGACTGGCAAGCGGGAGAGCAAGAAGCTGGCCTAAAGCGTGGCTCCCGGGAGGAGGACCAGCAAAGGAGTAGTCTATGGTGCTTGAGGAGAATGAAGTCTCAGCACTGCTAAACAAATCAGGACCACGGCGAACTCCAAGGCAGCCGGCGCGGGTCTGCGAGGGGCGTGGCTGGCTGTCAGTACCCAGGGCTCCACCGCCGAGCGCTATGCTTCAGGGGCGTGGGGCAGAAGCTGCCCGCCCAGCACCAGGAGCACACGCCACTTGGTTCGGGACGCAGCCAAACCCCAGCTCCGGGACTGGATGGAGACGCCCTCAAATCCGCTAGACTCCCAGCGGAAGTCCCGCCCCCGGAAGCTAAGAGTAGTGGAAGGCCCGAGGCCGGGGCCACGCCTCTTCCTCCCAGCCCACACACCCACCTTCCGCTTTTGCTGAGGTACAGGAGCTATGGCTCCTGTATCATCTGGGAGAGTTCGGCGTCGAGCTCGAGGCGCCAAGCGGGCCGATGCGCGAGCCCGTTCGGCCGAGGACTGGTGGTGGGACAGGCTAGCACCTCGCGGTTCTGGATACCACCTGTTGCAAGCGGACAGCATGCTACTCGTGCTGCCGGACCTAGAACCTACCCGCGCTCGCGCGCACAGGCGCGCCCCTCGCCGCGCTCCGAGACCTCTGACTCGCGGTCCCACAGCGGCAGCCAAGCCCAGGGTTAAGCCCCGACCTGAGCCGTCGCCCGATCAGGGCCCGGACTCCGGCTGGGGAGACCGTATTCCCTTAGAAGTCCTGGTGCATATTTTCGGGTTGTTGGTTGCGGCTCATGGGCCCATGCCGTTTCTTGGCAGGTACACTAACAACAGCGCCTGCCGGGGTAGGGACTGGCCCACTGAGCGGGTTGAGCTGCAAGGCAGAGGGCAAAGCATCTCAACGGGTATACACGAGTGCTCCGGCACCTGTCTCCACTTGGAGTCCCCGAAGCCCGACTTTGAGACCGCTGCGCTGCAAGTTGCAAGGGCAGATATGCTGCTTCTAAGACACTTTATTGTAGGCATCACTCAGGAAAAGCCATACACTCTGAGCGAACTGTTTCTTCTCCTAGGGCTGCACGCGTTTGCCGCCGTTGGCATGAAGCCACCTCCCATCCTTCACTCTGGCACACTGTGACCCTGTCACCCCCGCTGGTTGGCCGGGCTGCCAAGGGCAACCTTAAGGCAGAGAAGAAACTCCTTGCTTCCCTGGAGTGGCTCATACCCAATCGGTGAGGGTCCCTTGTCATCTCATTCCCTTGCTTTACCAGTGCCTCCCTGCGTCAGTGTTGGGTAGGGAGGTTGCTGGCCAGAGGGGCAAGCATGAGGAATCTAGTACAAGTGGGCCTTGCTGTCGCCCAGGTTCTCTCAGCTCCAGAGGTTGACCCTCATCCATTGGAAGTCTCAAGTACGCCCTGTGTTGGAGGTAAGAACTTGAGCCTGCCCTGAACACCAGCTGTAACATCTGTGTTGCCCACTCTCGGGGAGTGCCCTGGTGCTGCCCCACAGAGATGTCTGCTTGTCTGCCTGCCCAGTTCTGTCTTGCTGACACCTTAGGTAGGAAGTTGTCAGAGGAAAATGCACCAAAGTGGGCCTGGACAGAATGGAGTCATAGCTGGGCCACAGGATGGACTTGTCAGGACCTCCCTCCCCAACCCCACATGACCTCTCTCTTGCCACAGCTGGTTAGCAAGTTCTGCCCCCGGCTCACCTTCCTCAAGCTTTCAGACTGCCACAGCGTGACTGCTGACACCCTGGTCATGTTAGCCAAAGCCTGCCACCAGCTCCACAGCCTGGATCTACACCATTCCATAGTGAGTCCTGCGCCCCCAAGAGGCCCTGCAAAAGCCTCGGCTCTTGTGAGGTGACACACACCCCTGTACTGGATCCCTAGGTAGAGTCCACAGCTGTGGTGAGCTTCTTGGAGGAGGCAGGGTCCCGAATGCGGAAGCTGTGGCTGACCTACAGTTCCCAGACGACAGCTATCTTGGGTGCACTGCTGGTAGGTTGGTGATAGGCAGGGGCAGAGCTGAGTGGGAACTGCCAGGCCTTTTGACCTAGTGTGTGTCCCCACCATTACAGGGTAGCTGCTGCCCCCAGCTCCAGGTCCTGGAGGTCAGCACTGGCATGAACTGCAACAGTACGCCCCTGCAGCTGCCCATAGAGGCTCTGCAGAAAGCCTGCCCCCGGCTACAGGTACCCATGCCCTACCTTCCCCCACTTGCCATTCGCCGACCTGTCTGCAGCTGGCCCCTTCTCCCGACTCCAGGTGCTACGACTGCTGAATCTGCTCTGGCTTCCGAAGCCTTGTGGACGAGGAGTGCCCCAGGGACCAGGCTTCCCCAGTCTTGAGGAGCTCTGCCTGGCTGGCTCCACCTGCAGCTTTGTGAGCGACGAGGTTCTGGGCCGCTTGCTCCATTGCTCTCCCAAGCTGCGCCTGCTGGATCTTCGCAGCTGTGCTAGGATCACACCTGCTGGCCTGTGTGATTTACCGTGTCAAGGTCAGCTGGCCTGCCTGGTAGGTGGGGTGGGGGGGATCACTGACTGCCTGCTGTTCACACCCAGTTCTCTCCTTGCAGAGCTGGAACAGCTGTACCTGGGCCTATACATGTATGACGGGCTGACTCTGGCTAAGAAAGGCAGCCCCCTGTTGACCCAAAAGTGGTATCACAGCCTCAGGGAGCTTGACATCAGTGGCCAAGGCTTCAGTGAGAAAGACCTGGAACAGGCCCTAGCCGTTTTCTCTGACACCTCTGGGGGCTTACATCCAGCCTTGTGCTCCCTCAATCTCAGGGGTACCCGAGTTACACCAAGCACAGTCAGGTCAGTGCCTCTTTCTCTAGTTCTGTGAACTTTGTACTGCTTATCTGACTTGAGGAACCAGAGGGGTCCTCCCTCGTTTCACTTTTTCAGGGACCAAGATGAGTGTAGGTCAGACTCCTACTTGGGGACATCAGGAGAACTAGGCTTAGACCTGGGTGGCTCGAGGCCATAGACCTGGTGTAGAGTGAGGACAGACAAGGCTCCCTGGCCAACAGCTCACTTTCCCATGGTTTGCCTGTTCCACAGTTCTGTGATTAGCAGTTGCCCAGGGCTGCTGTATCTCAATCTGGAGTCCTGCCGGTGCCTCCCCAGGGGACTGAAGCGTGCCTACCGGGGCCTGGAGGAAGTTCAGTGGTGTCTAGAGCAGCTGCTTACGAGCCCGCTGTCCTCCAGTTAGTCCACTTAACTGGACACCAACCAGCTTTGTCCCGCCCCTTTACACTTGCATACATTTGAGCTTTTGTTACAATAAAGTATTTTTAAGCATTCTGTATGGTCCCTTGTTGTTTTATTTGAGATTCTGCTCATGCTAACCCAGGCTGGCCTGGAACTCAGTGTAGCCCAGGCTGACCTTCCACTCACAGCAGGTTCACCTCTCAGCCTCCCGGGTGATAGACTTACAAGCATGGACCAACATGTACGGTCCTTAGAGAAAGTTGTTGGGTGGAAAACAGGGATCATACCTGATGGAGCAGCTACAGCATCCTAGGCCTGTGTATGTGGGAATGGCCCTTAGGTCTCCTAGCCCAAGGATTTGCTGTGTCTGCTCACTGCAGGGTTTGACTCTTGAACTGTGAATTCCACCCTTGGGATAGGGTAGGGAGTGAGGTATAAAATGGTGAAAAGAGCCAGGCGGGGGTGGTGCACACTTTTAATCCCAGCACTCAGGAGGCAAAGGTAGGTCTCTGTGAGTTCGAGGCCAGCCTGGGCTACAAGAACTAGTTCCAGGACAGGCTCCAAAGCTACAGAGAAACCCTGTCTCAAAAAGCCAAATAAATAAATAAATGGTGAAAAGGAGGCACAAAGGCCTTTATCAGCCACCAGAATCCGTGAGTTGATAATGTTGGCAACAGTGGCTTAGGCTGTCCAGCCATGACGAAGCCACGTGGCCTACCAGGTCATGGAGACTGGCCAGAGAGTGCATGCTCACTAGAAAGGTGTGGTCAATAGAATAGCCCCTTCTAGAATCCTTTGCCCTGAACTTCTAGAACCCAGGCAGTTCAGCCTAGATTGTTATCTACTTCCCGGCCCCCCTGTTGTCTGGCAGCTCCTGCTCCGTCCTGAACTGCAGCCCTGGAATTGTCTCGGGTGGGAACCCCGTATATAGACAGTGGATGGTGTGGCAGAGGGCAAGCTGTATGCTGACTACTTCTACCTAACCAGGTCCCCAAGGAGCAGACCACTGGCCTCCCCACGTCTGTCTTTGCCACACGCTTCCAGCTCTGGGCCGTAGGACTCTTCTCTACTGAGCGCCACTTAGCCAGTCGCCTCAGGAGCAACAGCTTTTACCCCTTCAAGCAGCAGCAGCCAGATGGTGGGCAGGGGACTGGGCATGGCTAGGTTCCCACAAGTGGAGAGGCTGGCTGAAGCTGGGTGGGTGAGGGTAGGTAAGCAGGTGCACTTGGTGGGGGGCAGACACTGTAGTAGCATGGAGAACCTCCACTGGGAGGGTCCCCCTGGCACTGTCCAGCAGCTGGGGCAGCTCCAGGCTGTCCTCATGTGCTGGGCCATGCTATCCTCAGTGTTTGTGCTCGAGTATTACCTGGACACGCTCTGGAAGGGGACGCTGCTCTTCATCGTCTGCCTTGTCTTGGTCTGCTCTGACGTCCTGAGCACGGTCAGAGCGCCTGCACCTCACCCTCCTCTCCCTTGGCATGAGGGCCACACAGCAGCTCCAGCCAGAGCTCACCTCCCTGTCAATCCTTGGTGCCCACAGGTGCGGGAGCAGGAGACCTGGTGCTTTTCTCTCTATGGCATGGCTATAGGCCTGTGGCTCATGGTTTCCTCAATCCCCCCGCGCCGCCTAGTGCTGAACCACACCCGCGGCATGTACCATTTCTCCATCAGTGGCCGAACTGTGTGTCAGGGCCCAATGCATCTGGTCTATGTGCGCCTGGCCCTCAGCTCTGACGGTGATGCCTGGGATAGGAGAGGGTAGAGGGAGAGGGATGTGGATTCAGAGCTGGGAGGGGCCAATAGTCCATCTGGACACGCCCACCTTGGAGGCCCCGCCCCTACCATCCTACACCCCACCCCCAGGCTCTGGGAGGTTAGGTTCCTGGCTCAGTTGCTCATCTATTGGCAGTCTATGGCAGGTGCTTCTTCCAGCTGGTTCTTTGTGGCCACAAGCTAGAGCCACTTGTTCTGGTGCAGCTGTCAGAGCGCTATGAGGTGGGTCCTGCCCTCCCTTCCCCACAAAAGATACTAACTACTGCTTAGAGTTCTTGAATGGGGCTATTTTTCCTCTGTTGAGGCCTCCCCTCTGCTAAGGGTGGCAAGATCACTGTGGGTTCTGGGCAGGGGTAGCGTAACTCCTTGGGGCAAGGGAAGGAGTATGTAAAGAGCGTGCTGGTGGGGATTCTCCTATCTGGAGAACGAACAACTGACTGCCACTCACTTATTCATAGCAAATGGAATTCCTGGGTCGGCACATCGCCCGGAAACTTAACATCAACTACTTTGACTACTTGGCCTCCTCCTACCGTCATGTTGTCCGCCATTGGCCACTGGGGGCCACCTTTAGCCCTGGCATTGTGCAACGAAAAACACAAGTCTACACTAAGACAAGTGTCGCCGACCTGGATGTTTAACTCTGGGGCCTGAACCCCACTCCACACTCCTTTTCCCTATGCTGCCCCTTATCCCCATCCTGGAGGGACTGCCAGCCAGCCCCACCCATTAGCCTTCCTCTTACTAAAGCTGCTCCAACCTCCAGCCAGGTGGTTTTCTGTTGTCTGTTTATTTGCTTTTGAGGGGGCTTCCTTTAAGGGTCTTCCCCTAGCACAACTCTCTAGGGCCTGAGGATCCCATCTTCTCCACTACTGGAGTAAAGTAAATTCCACAGTTTGGGTTGGAAGAAACAGGGAAACTATGTAACCTGGCTTCTGATTGTCTGAACTCGTCACTAAGCTGGGTCTTCCTGTCCCTCTTAGCAATACTGAATTGGGGCTAACCAATGAAGCCGAGGAGTCAGAATATGATTGGTCTGTCTGGTAGGCACCTGCCTCTAGTCCAGCCAGCAGTGATATGGGGGCAGAGCTGGATGATATGCCCTGGGCCTTCTGGTATATACAGGACTGTGTTTATGCACACGTGACTCCCAGAGTCCTCGGCCGAGCTGTCCGGTCCACCACGGCCTATGCTTTGTGTCTCTGGTAGGAGCTCCCTTGTCTGACAGAACACTCTAGCTCCCATACTGGCACCTGAGGCCTCCTGATGCCTGGGGCTGCCACAGGAGCAGAAGACCGCTGTCCACCTGGCTCTGGTCAACATGTTGACATGTGTCCCTAGGACTAGGCTAGCTATGTAATTTGTAGAGCCACAAGATGAAAATATGGAGCCTTGCCTAATGGTCGTCTTTAATCTCAGCACTCACGAGGCAGAGGCAGGCGGATCTCTGAGTTCAAAGCCAGCCTGGTCTACAAAGAAAGTTCCAGGACAGCCAGGGCTGTTACACAGAGAAACCCTGTCTCAGGGCAGGGGTGGGGGTAGGAAGGAAATATGGACTCCTTGTTCAAATGTTAAGGAGCAAGACTTGCTGGCACATACCTGTAATCCCAGCTTTTGGAGGATAGAAGCAGGAAGATCAGAAGTTCATGGTCATCCTCTGATACATTGTGAGTTTCAAGCCAGTCTTGGGCTACATGAGACCTTGTTTCAACAATAACAATAAAACTTACTAAGGGGCTAGGCATAATCATAGCACCCAGGAGGTGGAGGTAGTTTGGGTTACATAATGAGATTCTGTCTCGGAAAAAAGAAAAAAGTTAATAAGGGATCTGGAGTGTAGGATATAGCTCACAGTGGAATGCTTGCCTGGCATGTGCAAGGCATAGGCTCCATCAATCTGTAGGGGGAAAAAAAAAGGAAGAAAGGAAGGAAACAGAGAGAAGGAAGGATAGGAAGGAAAGGATGATGGACAGAAAATGTCCGTGGAAAATCCCAAACTGTTAGTCACGCCAATGGAAAATGGCTGGGAAGCTCAACGAGAAGCTCTGTGAGCCAGAGGACACTGTGAGCAGTGGGAACACTGAGGCTTCAGGAACTGTAGAGAGGAGTCAGCCGGGGTCACAGCTTGAACAATTTACTGGATAGGTAGAACCTGGAAAGCAAAGCCGCTTCTTGTATGGCCCAGGATTTCTGTCCTGGGCACTGGGGCTGGTGACCAGGATAGGAGTAAGCGTTCTCAGGGGAGTCAGGCCTGAAGTTGCCGGGCAAAATCACTCAGTATTTGCCATTATTTTCAGATCTGAGGATTGAACTCAGGGACTCAGGTGCTAGGAAAACGGTGTCCCACTGAACTGTAATTTTTTTTTATCCCTGCACGGAGTTTTATTTGTTTATTTATTTTTTTATTTTAACCAGAAAGATATGGGGGGAAGGAAGGAGCTGCATGCAGAGGTCTGCATCTCGATCGGTTACTTGTTGCTGTGACCAAATACCAGACAAGAAACAGCTTAAAGAACATGTTTCTATTGGTTCGTGAGTGATGGGATACAGCTTGTTATGGCGGGGGAGGCACAGCAAGCAAGAGCACAGAGTAGCTGGTCTCATTGCTATCGACAAGTAGGGAAGCAGAGCGAGAATACTGGTGCTCAGCTCACTTCCTCCTTTATATACAACCAATATTCTAACCCACAAGATGTTGCTACCCACATTTAAGGTGGGTCTCACAGACATACCTAGCAGTTTTTCCATGGTGCTTCTAAGTTCAGTCAAGTTGACAAAATTGACCAGCTGAGGGCCTGGGTAAGATGTGTCTGGCAGCTAGGCAGGGGTAGTAGACGAAAACACGTACAAGGGTGCCAACCTGGCATCTGAGGCAGAGGCAGAGGAAGAGCCTTCAGAGACAGGGAACCAGGAACAGGAGGAGGGGGAACCTATGCTCCGTAAGATGGGGACTTCAGACAAGGGCCTCATAAGCTCTGCACAAGCAAGGAGAGGGAGGGAAACAGTGAAACTCAAGTAGAGAGATGGCAGCCTACAAGATGTAGATCTCATTTGGGTATAGTTAAGACATATTGTGGGGTTGGAGATGAGACTCAGTGGTTAAAAGAACATACTGCTCGTATAGAGGACCCAACACTGGTCTCCAGGGCCCAAATGAAGTGTCTCACAACTGCCCGCAACTCTGGCTCCAGGGAATCTAGCACCCTCTTGTCTCTGTGGGCACCTGTACTCACAAGCGGGCACACCACAGACATATAGACACACAGACACACACACACACCACACATACATACATGTATAAACATTTTTAAAAGAATACTAGTGTACAAATATTACTGTTCCAAAAGATTTATTATGAAGCAGGTGATTGAATACTTGTAGGAACCATGTTCTTGGATGAGCAGAAAAGGAAGAAGATGAGGGCTACAAGTGTGCTTGGGAGCAGGGTCTTTTCCCTCTCCTCCTCTGATTCTGCCCTAGAAAATAGCTGGTCAGGCATATGGTCACAATGGACTATCCTCAGCCTGCACTGCATATCATTTAGGAGGTTATTTAAATAATTCCTGGTTAAGGCAATAGAACAATGTTTTTAATTTCAGGAACTGTCCTTATACGTAAGTTTTCAGTTTCTGCCATTTCTTCTCTTTTCTTTTCTGTTTTTTTGTTTTGTTTTGTTTTGTTTGAGATAGGGTTTCTCTGAATAGTTCTGGCTGTCCTGGAACTCACTCTATAGTCCAGGCTGACCTTGAACTTGGAGAGCCGCCAAGTCTAGGTTGGTCTCAAACTAGGGTCTTCCTCTTCCTCTCAGGTGCTAGGAGTACAGGCTTGCACAGGACACTCAGCTTGATCGCCATTTTAGTGGTATAGAGCACAGTTTGTTTTTTTTTTAAAAAAAAAAAAAAAGAGGCATGATTGGGATCAACTCCCAGCCCCCACATGGTAGCTTAACAATGTAACTCCAAAATCTGACACCCTCACACAGACATGCATGCAGGCAAAACACCAGTGCACATAAAATTTTTAAAGGGGGTATGAAATGGCATTCCATGGAATGGGAGAATAACCAGACAGGAATGTATAGCAAGGGACTGCCCACTTGCGTTGTAAATGTGTGACTTCATAATCTAGAAAAGCAGAACTCTGCGGCTCAGATTTGCTCAGTGGGCACTTAGCCAGGAAAATATGACTGGTTTTAATTCTGGTCTGTGGAATCCAAGCTGAGGAGGAAGAGGGCAAGGTTTCAGTTCACTATAGTTACTTCAGCATCCAGAGTATGCAAACCATAAAACAGCAATGTCCCCCAAATTCTGTGGGCTAGCCCCCCTCAACAGAGTCAGTATACTCTACCTATGTAGCTGGGATAATTCATGGAGCTATACTAGCTAGGAGTTTGGTTGGGGCCACAATGTCCAAGATGACCTGCTATCATGCAGGACCCTTTACCAAGTAGCATCTAATCATTCAGCAGGTTCCCAGGTGTTGGTTCTCAGAGGCTATAATAAGAGGGCAGGCCTAGAGGGCACTTGTTTCAGCGTATGTGCATACGGATGCCTCCATGGACAGAAAGTTACACAGGAGAGCCATCACTGTGTGGAGGGGTTAGATGACCTTAGCAGGCAGGAAGAGCAGGGCCGTGAGCATAAACAGTCCACCAGAGTACACCGTCTAGATCTCCCCTGCAAGATACAGACCCCTTACAGGCCCCTCATTTCATTGAGCGCTCCACACAGGTTGAAGCCCAGAGTCTAAGCATCTCTGTCAGGTGTAGATGCACACGACGGTCCTCGGGCACAGTCCTCCCTTGGGGCTGAGCGTTAAAAACCCAGTCCCCACACTGTGCACATTAATGATGAAGAGATGGAATGTCTTCAGTAGATACTGCTACGAAGACAGCCTGAAATGTGGGCTGTAGACAGCTTCCAAAGCAGAGTACAGAAGAGGGAACTGGTAAATGGACAGTGGATCACCTTGGCAGATACAACTTTAAATCAGATGACCAAAGTGGACATCAGTCACCTCAGTGTCATGTACCAGACTTCAGTAAGAAAGTAGAGAGCAACAGGCCAACGGAATGTATGGTGGCATATGCGTGCGATTATATCATCTCAGTGCTTGGGAAACTGGAGTCTGAAGCCTGGACTACATAATGAGCCCAGTTGGAGTATTCTATGAAATACTCCATTCTACAAAATGAGACCTCATTCCTTCAAAACAAAGCCGTAGAGAGCGAGGAAAGGCTAAGAAGCCGTCACAGACCACGAGAGACAAAGCAGATGCCAAGCCTAAACGTAGTATATCACCTTGACTGAGCTGGCACTGGGAATAGAACGGCGACGTTGGTGAGGAAATTGGTAACTCCAAATAAAGCCTGGGTTCAGTTAATGTGCCAATCAGTGTTGGGTTTCTTAGTTGTGACAAATTAAGCATAGGAATAGAACATATTGAACCTGGCCTGGAGGTATACACTTTAATCCCTGCATTTAGGAGGCTGGATTTAATGAGTGAAATCAGCCAGGTGTGGTGGTGCAGGCTTTTGATCCTAGGGAGGCAGAAGCTGGAGAACTTCTGAGTTTGAAATCAGCCTGATTTACATGTCGAATTTCAGGCCAGTTAGACTACATAGTGATACCCTGTGTCACAGAAAATGGAGAGGGGACTAGGTAACATTTTGGGGCCAGCAATGTAGTTCAGTGGTATAGCATTTATCTGCTCAGCATGTACGAGGTCCGTGGTTTGAACCCCACCACTGCAAAACAAAATTTATT